TATTTTATATAAAATGAATAATTTGTATGACTTAAAATAAATATTATTTTCCTACTGATTATGTTATAAACCATTCCTAGATTCGTTTAGACCCCCCTCCTTTTATGAAATTACTAGATCTGCTCTAAAATTAGCATGAAAATAGTCATTAACATACGAAATCCCTTAGGAATAGTTACATACTAGTTGCTTGGAAGAAAAAAATTAAATACTTTCTCAAATTTTTAATTCTCAAAACGATTGAGGTTATTTAAATAACATGTAATTTTAAGATTTTTTGAAATTTGATTTAGATGCAGGCGACGTCATTACCTTTTCAGTGAGTAACGCCAATTTTTTTTTTTTTTGGAGCGCATCACTAAAATGCTCATAAAATACCCAAAAAGTGAGATATTTTCAAAATTTATGTATATTTGCATTCAGAAAGAGTCCGGCTATCAAAATTTACCAAAAAGTCAATTTGTGAAAATTTGACCTTAAGGGCCCTTTTCTCGTGACGACAGTCATTTTTTTTTTTTGGCAAGACCTTTCATTGGATACCAATTACCTTGATCTTTTGACCTTGGAGATTTTAGTACTTATGAAAAATTTTATTCTTGGCCTTCCTTCGTATTTCGGTATTGTATTTCCAGTGAGTTTGCATTTAAGAAAATTTTAATCTTCGCTATGTTGTCATACGGGGGCATCAGTGTTTCACAAACACATCTTGTTTTCTTTTGTTATTGTTATTCTAGTACGAGGGTTGATCCAAAAGTAATGTCACAACTTTGATAAAATTGCTACTAGTCAACGTAAATCAATGAAATTATATATGTTCGAAGCTATATTTATTACAAATCAGCCCTGAAAAAATCAAATCAAAATTATTTATACTTTTCAAAATATCGAATTATATACAAAGTGCAATTATGGTGGTCGCCGCACCTAAATAACGTCATATAATGGATGCGCGCCGTCATACACTTTTGAAAACGCTCCCCCTCGTTTCATTAAAATGTTTGAGATTCACGAGCACATTCATATATATTTCTCTTTTTAAAAGAATTATTGGCACCCATTGTACACTCACTCTATACATGATTTAGTTCTCTGTCAAAATTATTTGTACAGCACCATAAGACAAACTTAATTTTTCTCATTTCACTCTAACCGTCTCTCTTTTTGGACAATTTCAGACACCATTGAACGTTTCCGCCCGACCTCCCATCTTTCGGTCTTTCTGTCCTCTGCTGATAACTCAGTGACCCATGACACACTTAAAATTACTGAAACCATCTATAAACAAGTCTCTTTTTTACATTCTCCTTGCTATGTGTCTGATTAATTATTGTAACTGTCTCTTAGGACAATTTTCCCATTTTGAAGCAAAAAACGCATTACAGATCGTATTGGCGGTTTTCTCCATTTCGACATTTCCTTTGTTCAATACAGCTGATTAAAACAACAATGTTTATGATCAAAAAGCAATGACGTCATTTTATATTCAAGTTAAGACTAGAAAATGTTGTAAAAATTTGTCTTTTAAAATATTGGGCGACTAGACGCTTTTTTAGATGCTTTTTAATGTGTTTGTCTTTTTTCATACTAATAATTTACACTTTAAAACTTGACGTTTAGTTGTGACGCGGCGATACCCCTTACGTTTAATATTTTAAACGTCTATAAAATTCATTCAAGTTAACATTTTTAAATGAAACTTTCAATTTCAGTTAGATTTATTTTTATGCATCTTTTGGTATAATATATTTGATAATATTACGTCAAATATTAAAGATATTGACACAGTGACATTACTTTTGGATCAACCATCGTAGAATTACGTTGTAATATACTACTTGGAAATTTTCTAAAAGCTTTTTACCATCTGTGAAATTGATTTCCCCAGAATCAGGACAAAAAGAAGAGCAAAGCCGAACACATTTCTAAAATAAATTAGAATGTAGATATTTTCATTACTCCAGAAAATCTAGAAAATTCAATTTATGTAATATGATGGTGAACAGGATCCTCTGTCCTGGTGATAGGGAAGTGTATAATTTACAAAAAAAAGCTTTGATTAAAAATGTTAATTGTCATAAATAGTTTTAGACGATTTTAAAATTACAGAACATTTTGAAATCTCAGGGATTGAAATTCTCTTTGCTGTTCTGTTCATGTATAAGCATTTTTGCTAATACCGTATTTTTTTAAAATAAATCTTGATGCTTCACTAGTCTTTAAATCAAAATATCCCTCATACATTTAAATTGCAATGAATGATCATCTATAAATGATTAAACTTTTGAATCTAACTTGATTACAGAAACAAGGAGCTTGGAGATCTCCATCAAAATTTGGAGTGGATTATGATGATGTCATTAGAAGTGTTATTGAGAGTGAAATGAAGAACCTGGCGGTACCTTTCAGTGTGGATCAGTTCCGATCACATCGACCCACACTGGAGAAATATTTTCATAGAAAATTAAGAGAAAGACTGGAAGGTATATGTACCATCAGTAATGCTACATGTTAGTTTGAATAAATTAAGGAAGAAGTAGGTACAGTTATAGGTTTATTGTGCCCTAAAATTTTAATGTTTTCAAAAAGTTTTGAAACTGGCTTAAATATTAGTTGAGTACATGTGTATGACTAAAAATCAGGAAGGAATATGGCATGAAAGAGTATTATTCTGGAAATACATGTATGATGTCATTAATTTGATGCATTTCTCTATTTCAAACAGAAAATGTCTCAAAATGACTCATTTCAAGGGTTATTTTGCTTTAAAAAATAGTGTCTACAGCCGTCGCCCACTTTAAGTTTGGGATATGTTGTGGAAAATTCTTTGAAAAATCACACATCTCCAAATTATTGTGGGCGACGCCTGTGGAAATGTTATCTAAAAGAAAATTCCATTGAAAATTGTTGTCTTCTGCAACTTTTCAAGAAAATACGGGAAAATACACATGTTTATGACGTCACAATTAGCATTTAGAAGGTCATGAGAGAAAAATGATTTGTATGATCTTTATGCATGGCTCTTCAAGGAGTCCGAAGGCATGAGTTTTAATTTTTCTACATCACTTGCTATCTGTTTTCGTCCGTCGTCGTGCGTCGTCCGTCGTCCGTCGTGCGTTAACATTTGAACATTTTCAGCTTCTTCTCTGCAACCCCTGAACCAATTTCAACCAAATCTGGCACAAAGTATCTATGGGTAAAGGGGAACAAAAATTGTGAATTTCATGATCCCTGCCTCCCTGGGGCCAGAGGGATGGGGCCAAAACCACTAAAATTAGTGCAATCTTTAAAAATCTTCTTCTTTACTCCTGGACATCAAGCAGTCAAATTGTTTGCATGATTGTAATCAGCATTGAGTCCTCTACCAAAATTGTGAAAATCATGACCCTGGGGTCAGGGGCTCTAGTGCTAGGGTGGGGCTAAATAAGTATATAGTGAAAATGCATTATTTCTTTGAAAATCTTCTTCTCTGCTCCTGGGTTTTAAATAAACCAACTAAGTTCATAGTTATGATGAGGAAGAGTGCCTCTACCAAAATTTTGAATTTTATGGCTCCAGGGTCAGGGGTTCTGGTGTAAGGGTGGGGCTCTATTGATTATATATAGTAAAAATACATGAATTCTTTGAAAATCTTCTTCTCTGCTCCTAGGAATTAAATAGACTAACTAAGTGTAAAGTTATGATGAGCAAGAGTTCCTCTACCAAAATTGTGAATTTTATGGCCCCAGGGTCAGGGGTTCTGTGATAGGGCGGGGCTCTTTTGATTATATATTGAAAATACATGAATTCTTTGAAAATCTTCTTCTCTGCTCCTAGGTATTAAATAAACTAACTAAGTTCATAGTTATGATGAGGAAGAGTGCCTCTACCAAAATTTTAAATTTTATGGCTGCAGGGTCAGGGGTTCTGGTGTTAGGGCAGGGCTCTTTTGATTATATATTGAAAATACATGAATTCTTTGAGAATTTTCTTCTCTGCTCCTAAGTATTAAATAAAATAACTAAGTACATAGTTATGATGAGCAAGAATGCCTCTTCTAAAATTGTGAATTTTATGGCCCCAGGGTCAGGGGTTCTGGTGTTAGGGCGGGGCTCTATTGATTATATAGTGAAATTACATTAAATTTATGAAAATTTTCTTCTGTGTCTCTATGAAACACATGAACTACCTATATAGTTGTGATGAGCAAGGGCCCTAATCTTGCAGAATTGTGAATTTAAAGGCTTCAGGGTCAGGGGTACCATAGAGGGCGGGGTCTGTACTTATATACTGAAAATGAATGAATTGTTTGAAATCTGCTCCTTGGAATTAATCAAATATTCAAGGATGCCTTTTCAAAAATTGTGCAGTGTGTGGATCTAGGCCTAAGTGTCAGGGGTTCATGTGTGGTAAGGGCACTACTGATTATTGCTGAATATTACTGATTAGTTGAAATGCATTTTTTGTTCCCCTACCCCACCTATGGGTATTAAGTAACCAAGCTAAGCAACTGCGAAGTGTATTGTTAAGATGACCAATGGTGCCTCTTTCAAAATTGTGAATGCCAGGTTTAAAAGATGAATCAAATTCAATAACTGAAAAGTTGTTGCATAATGCTCAGGTGACCTATAAGGCCCATGGGCCTCTTGTTAAGAAAAACATAAGGCAATAGCTGTATTGAAACTGTACCTTGTTCTTTATGAAAGTAAGAAATTAATGCCAGTTAATTTTATTCGCGCTTTTTGTAATACTGTATGCAGGGTTATTTTGGCCCTTTCACACCTGAAAACTGATTGTAGCACTGTTGTAAATTTACCCAGACATGATTGTATTTAAAAGATAATGTTGTAGTCTTTGAACTTTCTGTTTAAAATGTGTCCACTTCCAACTAGGAAAAAGGGGGCAAAAGTAAAATGGGGGTAAATATGTTTCTGTTTTGTTTTACTGTCAACAATTTAAAATAAATGGAAATGAATGAGAATTTTGGACATTTTTAAAATGCTTAAATGATTTTGTTCTTTTAGTTTTGAGGAAAATGCTGACAGAGAGGAGTTTATTCAGGAAAAATGGTGGAAATTAAAAAGACATTGCGGAACACAACACAATTACGTAATACGGGTAAACATTACAATAATTAAAAAAGGATACAATATTTAGCACATGTACTTATTTTTTGTACTATATTTTTCTATGCTAGAGGCTCAGGTGAGATTTTCTATCACCTGGGTAGCATGATGGGTTTAGATACATTACCTTTCCTTGTAATGCTTTAGCAAGTGTCCTATAATTTAGGCAGAAATATTCCTTAGTTGTTTATTCTTATGACATAGCCTACTTTTACAGTAAATATGCATTTACAAGAACTAAGAACTTGATTACCAGTTTACAATAATAATATGAAATTTTCTCTCTCCAGCAAATGAAATTCAGCAAGCAGCATTTGCAGAATCGAGAAAGATTGGTATTGAAGCCTCGGTAAACCGTGAAGCAAACTTGACTGCAGCATACAATTCTGCTCTGTCGGCCATGTTTACGAGGTTAAATGTCACGGAGGGGGAGCATAAGCTGTCAATCATGATGATTCGAGCTCTGGAGGATGTGGCAGTTAAGGGTAACCTGTACAGGACTTATGGGTACGACAATGGTACCATGTCACTGTATACAAAGAGTATGTCCATAGGATAGGACTCGAAGAGAATATTTTTTCTTCTCTCTGCTCAGCTTTACTTACAATAACTGAACATATTTATACCTCAACCATTATTAACAATTTGAAAAAAATGATAGTTTTAATATAATTGTTTTTTCCTTGTTTTGTTTTTTGTACAATATACATATCAAGTGTCTATTATTTATTTCCCAATTTTCTCTTGTTCTGATGATTTGTGCTTCGTGTTTAATTTTTAATAGCATTGTAAATTTTTACTCATCTGTTGTACAGATGTATGTATGATCCCAGAGTTCCAGGGAACCTAGTATAAATCGTGTATTTTGTTTGTCAGGAATTTAATTATCATTTTATTTATCTGTCTCTCTGTAATGATTTAAGATTTATTCCATTTTATATCTCTGACATTTTTAAAGACAAACTATTTATATATGTGAAAAATCCAGATAGGAGATTTGCATGCTCAACACTTCTAAAGCCTGGATTGTGCAGCATAATATTTTACTAAGTAGCGGGTAGTTTGTTGAGACTTCTTTGTGTTTATTGTCATCTCTGTTATAGCCATATAAAATAGTTTTTATCAGGTTTTTTTTTATGTTTTCTTAACTTTCTGTAAGAGATAAAACAAAATTATTATGGTGCTATGCATTCATACTTGTTAGTGCTTTGAGGTATACACTTCATTGATGCCTTATAAAATTCAATACATGTATTTTCATGGATCCTATGTTTATGAAAATAAAGTTATTTAAATGCATAGAAAATTTTGCTCTCTTCATTTCAAGAACATTCTCGTCGTTACCCCCACCCCTTTCACCAAGTAATTTTTGAGCATTTTGATTTATTTTTTATTCCTTGCTCTTCTGTTCAATTCTCATTCAGTTGGTTGTTTTCTTGATTACCTTATTAAATAAGATGTAAGTATCATGGATTACTGAAGTCCTGATAAATTGAGTGCCATTCTGGAGTGTTCCATGACAATAATTACAGTTTGAAGAGGACTGTACATGAAACTCCTAAATGTTTAGGAGTAAAGGTAATACTGCATGAAAAAGGAAGAAAACAAATAGTGCTCAAACTCTTAAGGTGGATTGATACTCTGATAAGGGAGATAACTCTTAATGACATTAATGTCTATTATTCCTATATAAATTTGCCAAGTTGTAGTGTCTTGTCCAATTTTGCTCCACAAGCAGTGCTATAATTGTTTGTACTTTGTTTTTAATTATAATATATATTTCTTTTGGAAAATCATTAAGGTTCAAGCAACATTTGATATAATTTGATATAATGTTTGTGAACCTTAAAGGCAATTAAAATAAAAGAAACTGGTAGCAGAGAAGAAGGTGACCTCCAGATCATCAGAGATGAGACCCAGGTGTTGATGAGAAGTCACGGTTCACTGACTTGTACATGCTGGCTATATATGGACACAACCTTGTATACCTGCTAATTTGTGTGTACAGTGTATATAGATAGGAACAACACTACAATTATCTTCTAGTGATACTGTTGATCTAGTCCCCCAAAGTCATTCTCTTATTTATGGGGAGAAAATGGACACAGCCACTCAGAGCTCGACAGTTTCATTAGAAACAATTCACTCACTGCTGATGCAAATGAACTCGAAACTATTAGTCATTGAAAATTATGTAGCTTTAGAGAAAAGACTTACATAAATTGAATTAAGGTGTCAGACATAAAGACTATAAATGACTTGGTCTCAACACTGAAAAGCAAAGTAAGTACTACATGTATTATATTGAGAACGATTTTTAAAACAGCTATGAAACAGACAGATTTTGATGTGGAACAAAGTGCTGCTGCAGCAGCGACTTGCCAGATTTTTGACGACGTTCATAAGACCGCAGAAAATGGAATTAAAATTCATAAAACTAAAACCATGTGGGAGAATGTGAACAAAGAATTAAGCTCAATGACAAGACAAAATGAAGAATTACAGAGGTCTATCACTGATCTAATCAAAGTACTGAAAGTACTGGGAAGCGCTAAGCATGGCTTGAATTTGAAATTCATCAGAACAATATACATTTGTGGTATCTTTCTATTATATAAACATACAGAGAACAAATATCTTCAATTCTGTATGAAGTTTTTGCGAGGTCAGAGGTCAATACTAGTACGTGACCTAATCACACGGCGCAATAATATCTACCGGTGCAGAAATATATAAAATGACTTGCTCTACTTGCTTTTCATGTATAAAAATGAGCAAAATATGCAAATAGAATAATAATTATTTTATTTACAACATTAACAAGTATTTCATACAGTTTTTTGGCTATCGATTTAACCTGTGTACATGGAGAATATACCGATAAAAACTAGTTCATCCATCCCTTTCTGGCGACCGAAATTCCTCCAACTTTTTATCATCGATCTTCGGACGTGTTTCTTGTGTCTTTTCAGCATTGATTATCATTTTTCACGAATAGAAATATTCCCAGATAACAATCTGTTCACTATTACTGATCACAAGTAGCCTTTCACAAAATGGTCCCTTAGAAATAAAATCCTTAGCCTAATGTCAGTAATGAATTCGAAGCGTAACCGCCATTCAAGCAGATTTACACCTTGCGTCATTTTTCAAAATCTACGACGGACGGTTAATGCAATAATGTATAATCGGAAATATTTAATTATCTGTCTCAAATGTATATATAAGTAATAAATAACAAGTTTATAAACTTCAATGGGAATTGAAGTGGGTCGGTACGTGATCAAATCTTCTGAGAAGGCCTTTGGCCTTCACAGGATTTTATCAATTAATTTCCTTATTGCATTGGAATAAGTACATGTAATATTTTGACGGTGCAGCTGCAAAGGGGGGGGGGGGGGGCGAACTCAGCTCTTTAATTGAAATAAACCCAGCTCTTGATTGACTTACTGCTACATCGAATGTAAGCAGTATTACTATAACAAAGTTTTTAAATATGCAAAAAAAATTTACAAAGAGAATCTAATTTACTATCTCTGTGCAATTTTTTTTAAAGCGAGTGAGTTACTTTTATAATCTTTCTTTGTTTGTGGCACCATAGGGCAGTGACACAGTTACCCGTCCGGACAACAAGTTTACTTTTGTTGCATTGAGGGTCCAGGTTTCTGCGATAAAATTAAATTTATATCAATGTTACAGTACGGTTTTTTTTTCTTCTGACTCATCTCATTTCAGATTATGTTAGCTGGAAAGCTGGGGGGTTTTTTGGACAAATTTTGAATACCTAAGATGTTGCTGATATCCTTATCTTGAACGTAAAGTGGAGAACACAAAACCTTCTAGTGAAATTTTGAACAATAAATCATTCTATTCTCAAGAATATTATTCGTACTTACTAAAATTCAAACTTGACTGTCGGAGACAGTGCCTGTCTTTGTTATTATCGGCAGCATAGGTGATCGATCTATTGGCGGTTGTGTTTTAAAGTGCACAGGAAGAAATGAGATATTATTTTTTATTTGTTCTATTTAAAACATCCTTTAATGATAACAAATAATTCGAATTATGAATAAAAGATTTTTAAAATGCCTTAAAATTTAGTTTGAACTGTTTTATGTAGTCATAGATATTTATAAAGTTATATTTTTTATATAAACGGTTTTACAAAAAAAAAAAAATCCTAGCATGGGAACTTGTAATATATACACGCAATCAATACAAGTTACTGTGTATACAATAATGAATAGAAATTGAACTTTTAAATTTTGTATTGAATATGCTACAGTGAATAACACAACAATATTTTTTTTTAATGTTTCTCATTAATTGTGATACCAATCCCTATTCGTGCAGCATCTTGATATCAACATGTAACAAAAATTCCCGAAGACTTTACTTCTTTTTTTCATTATATTGCTATAATATCAAATTTGGGTATAAGGATATTGCATTAAATTTTGTCTTTTTGATGAAAACCCATTCTTATCCTTTATCTCTGACTCTCACGCACATGAATTATAATTAATTTGTAACGAAAATCAAAAACGTTTGACCATTATTTTTCTCGTGTAATATTTGAAGCTGATTTATCAATATTTCTTTTTAAAATAAAAATGTTTAATTAAATACTAGTATACTCTTCTACTTAGAAATAAAAATATATTATGGGCAGCGGAAAGGGCAAGCAAAAATTACCAAAATGAGAAAACAAACAATTATTTTAATTTCAATGACCATAAAAACATAACAAATGATATACAATGCATAATCAACAGACATTCCGCAAAACAAATATACATTAAAGCAAAACCAACGACCACGTACGTAACAAATACATATGAATGCAAAACCAACGATCATCTTTGCAGAACAAACGTACATAAAAACACGACAAGCGAAAAAACCTTAACATTTTGGTAATTTTTGCCCTTTCCGCTGCCCATAATATATCATATAAAAAATTCGTGAGTATTTTCCTTTTGACTCATTTTGGCGGCATTACTTTAAAATGCTTCAGTTTTTTTTTCTTCACTATGTAAAACATGCTGACAAGAATGAAATATCCACAACACCCAAGCGTTCAGTCTAAAGGAATTTTCTGCATCAAAATATTTTAATACAGATAAAGACCTAGTTAAACATTTATTTTAATGGAATCGTACATGTACTACTAATAGATTTGATTCCAATTTGATTTTTAGAAACTTATTGAAACTTTTAAATACACGTGCGCATTAAATCTTTTACGGTACTTGTATTAACTTTTTCGAATTACACTGCAGAAATAAGATTTGTGACATAATTGGTGTTTGCCAGTACTTATTATTATGCACCATATTGTTCAGAGATAAGATCCGCCATTATCCACAAACACAGGATTTCCGTATATACGAAAATTAATATCGACTGTACTAATTAACACCTATTATGATAACTACTACAATAAAGTAGCCGACAGAGGGTCGGGGATCTCCAGTTGTATATTTTTAGACGACTTTGTAGAGTTACATAACTTGCTCAGTGGCGTTGTATTTAGTAAGCTTAGCGCTGTACATATCACACCTCGAAATTGAGTTCGTCATTTTGAAACACAGGTGCTTGAGGACAGGACCCCCCCCCCCCCTTCAATATAGACCTCTGGGCTTTTTCTATTTTTTTCTCATAAAAAATCTTTCGTTGCCATATTTGTGATATGATCTATACCAGCAAATTGAAAAATTACCTAAAACAAACGTTCTATTAAATCTACCCTACATTCTCTATATAAAAATCAACAATTTATATACAGAGAGGGTAGATATTTTTATAAAATGTAAGTTTAAGCAAATTTTCTGAATTGATAGGATAGATTATATCACAAATGTGTCATCCATATATAATTTATGTGAAAAAAGTCTAACAGGCCCGGGGGTCTATATTAAGGGGGGGGGGGTCCTGTCCTCAAGCACCTGTGTTTTGAAATCGAACATGATACAGGCCTACAACATTTATCTTAAAAAATATAATCACCTTTAAAAAGAACCATATATATTACACCACGGAGATAATTTAGGTCAACAATAGGAGCCCATGCAAAGGCATTATAGAACTCCATTTGTTTACATCATTATTATATCATTATTCATAGAGGGCGCGTTAGGGGTGCGTTCAAGATCTAGTGGTAGACGGAATTTAAGTACAGATATGAATTTCGAACAAGAAGTTTGCTGGCCTAGCAGCTACGTAAAGAATTTGTATTATAAATATTTATGCTAAGTTTGAAATCCTGCAATGCTGCTTGGATTACGCTTTGC